AGTATATTAGAACTATATAATGTTGTTGAAGGCATAATATCTGCTGTAAAATGTTTCACCTTTCATAAAACTCTTGTTTAACTTACTTGATAAAATATTCTTGCACTTGTGTACCTATTTGAATTGGAAATTTTAAGGACAGCATTATTGTTTTTATGTATAAATGAATGTTTATTTTTTRGATACAAAAACAAGAAGTATACGTAATACTAATATGAACATTTTTTTTCTAACTAATAAAAAAATTAAATGTATACAAAAATTCAACAAGTTAATAAATCAATAATTATTTACAGTGTTTATATACGAGTGTCGAGTATTAATATAGGTATACATTATTACTTATAAGTAAATAAACGCGTCTTACAATTAATTGTGAGCAAGTATGAAAAGTATAAATGATCCTACAGAGTCATATGTATTGAAAAAAAAAACACTTAATAATTTGATCATTTGCAGCACTGTTCAGATTTTCCCATCAATCCGTTACACCGTCGCCAAGTTTTGACCTTCCAGCCGGGTCCGAGTATGTTGCACCAGTCTCCGGCTGAATGTGCATGGCAGTCGAGCCAGCGACACTCAGCATCGATCGTTGTGGCTGCGACCAGTAACACTAAAAATTAAAAACAAAATTATTATTCCAGTGTACCTACCTTCATACATTCTTGTATTGTACGAACAGAAAATACAGAATGTCAACAATATTTTTAAGTTTAATGAAATAGTTTTAGCTGTTTATACGTTAAAACTTATATTTTATATACCTATTGTATATTACCATCGGCGTTAATGAGCATAGTAAAGTAAAAACTTTACACTCAACTTTTTAGCCTTCTTATTGCATATATGTTTTTAGCCCGTTCTAGTTAAAATCTTAGTTCTTGTGTAAAACAAATATATAATGCTTTAAATGAATTMGACAATTAATAATTAAATTTAATATGTAAGTGTAGGTATAATATACCGATAATCATTATCGGATAATGTGATCAATGTGGATGTACCATGTA